AGACATTTCCTGTGGGGGTGAGGGGACATTCCTACTGGAGCCAAACAACTCCAGGGTCAAGCAGAGTTTAAGTGGCACAGGGATGAGGTGTTGAGGCCTAACAATACACTTTTGCTGGAGATTGAACTCAGTGTTTCGCTTCTTAGGCAGGCGCTCTACAACTTAGGTCAAGCCACCAGCCCCTCATGTTGAGTATTTCTGAGATAAGGTCTCAGTTTTTTGTTCAGGCTGGCTTAAACCTTGATCCTTCTATTCTCTGCCTCCTGAGTAGCAAGGATGACCAGTGTGACCCATGAGCACCCAGGATAACCCACATATGTAATTTCAAGTGTTCAGGACTGGAGGTATGGCTCAAGCAGTAAAGCGACTGCTTTGCAAGCTCGAAGCCATGAGTCCAAACTCCCTTTCCACAAAACAAGAACACAAACAAAAAAATCTAGTGTTCCAGTAGCCAGAGTTCAAAAGAGCCAGGCATGGTGGTACATATCTGTAATCCCAGCACCTGGTAACCTGAGGCAGGAAGATCAAAAGTTCAAGCCAGCCTGGGCTACATATCGAGACTGACTCAGAAGAAAAAAGTATAAAACATTAAATTAATTTTAATAACATACTTTATTAATCCAATTTATTATTTTATGTATAGTTTATTTAATATAGTGTAATTTTAAAAAATTATCATTTGAGGGTTGGGGGATATGGCTCAAGTGGTACAATACCTGCCTAGCAGGTGTGAGGCCCTGAGTTCAAACCCCAGTACGGCCAAAACAAAACATAAAAAGGTTAGTTCAAGAAGAATTAACCTAGAAGGTAACACACACGCACAGGAAATCAATGTGAGTCAATGCCCTGTATAGCTATCCTTATCTCAACCAGCAAAACCCCTTGTTCCTTCCTATTATTGCTTATACTCTCTCTACAACAAAATTAGAGATAAGGGCAAAATAGTTTCTGCTGGGTATTGAGGGGTAAGGGGGGGTCAGGGGGGATGTAAGGGAGGGGGCGGGGGAAGGGGGGAGAAATGACCCAAACATTGCATGCACATATGAATAAAATAAAAATTAAAAAAAACCAAAAAATTATCATTTGAACATGAAATCAATATGAAAATGGGTAAGATATTTATATTTCTTTGAAATCCAGCCTGCATTTTGCCTCTAGAGCCCATCTCAATTAGGACTAAAGTAGCTGCGCATACTGAGTGGTTACCCTCGATCCACCGTTCAGCCTCCCCTGCCCTGCTTGCCTTGGAAGCCTGCCTCTAAGGTGGCATCACTCAGCTCAGTTGCCCTTGGACTTCCTGCTGACCTAAGGGCTTCTGGAGCCATCGAAGTCACCATAAGGGCTTGGGACTAGAAGGGGCTGGGGTGGGGCTCAGTGGTAGGCGCTTTCTGTCGCCAGCACTGCAGGAAGAGTGTGGTCCAGGTATGCCCCAAAACTGAGCTGCCAGGGCTCCTCCACCTCAGGTGCTAACAGCCTCTCTTCCGGAGCTGGCACCTGGTTGATCTGGCCACGCTGTTCCCTTCCTTGCCCCAGGGGGCCTCAGAGCTGTCTCTGGAGTGCCCTGGCCCACTGTCGGCTCCCTGTGGGTAACCCTGGGAGTGTGCCTGTGGGTAACTGCCAGGACCTCGATTGAATAGAGTAGTTAAGGAAGTATTGTTCAGGTTCCTGCTCTTAGAGATTTTCTCTTATGGACACTTGAAGTCAATCACAACACTTAAAATATTAAATCTTGGGCTGGGGGTGTGGTTCAATAGAGTGCCTGCTTTGCAAGCATGAAGCCCTAAGTTCGGACCCCAGACCCACAAAAACAAATATCTATATAAAATTTACATATACATATATATCAAATTTTATGCCCAGTCACACTTGGCCATTAGTAACATTTTTCCTTGGGTTTTTATTTGTTGGTTTGTGGGATGTTTGTGAGATAGTCTCACTATGTACTGCAGGCCAGCTTTGAGCTCTCCATCCTCTTGTCTCCACTTCTTGAGTTCTGGGATTACAGATGTGTACCACCGCCCCCAGCAGGAACTTAAAAACTTTAACTTTAGCCGGGCACTGTGGTCACATCTGTAATCCCAGCTACTCAGGAGACAGAGATCGGGAGGACTGAGGTTGGAAGCCAGCCAGGACAAATAGTTTCAGAGAACCTATCTGGAAAACAGGGCTGGTGGAGTGGTTTAAGGTGTAGGCCTTGAGTTCAAACCCCAGTAAGGCAAAAAAGAAAAAAAATTAACTTTAATTTTTTAAAAAATTATATTTATTTATTTATTTTTGGCTGTACTAGGGTTTGAACCCAGGGCTTCTTGCTTGCTAGGCCAGCACTTAACTGCTTGAGCTAGGCCCCCAGCCCTAATTTTTGTTTTAAGGCAGGGCCTCACACTTTTTGTGAGAGGCCTCATACCTCCATTCTCTGACTCACACCCCTTGCATAGACGGATCACAACTGTGCACAACCCACCCACCTTGTTGGTAGAGATGGGTACTGCTAACTTTTGCCAGGGCTGACATTGAGCCTCAATCCTCCCAAACTCTACCTCCTGAGTAGCTGGGGCTCCAGGCACAAGCCATCAAGTCCGGCTGCCAGCAGTCTTTTTTATCCCCATTTGGTGGTGCCATGGGATTAGAACTCAGGGTATCACGCTTGCTAGGTAGGTGCTCTACCATTTTGGTTTTTGGTGGGCGAGACTTGAGTTTGAACTCAGGGCTTTGCACTTGCAAAGCAGATGCTTGCTACGCAGGTGCTCTACCACTTGAGCCACACCTCTAGTCCATTCTGCTCTAGTTATTTTGGAGATAGGGTCTCATGAGCTATTTGCCTGGGTTAGCCTTGAACCTTGATCCTCCAGATCTCAGCCTCTCAAGCAGCTAGGCTTACAGGGGTCCAGCACACTCTACCATTTGAACTGTACTTCTGGCCCCTCCAAAAGTCTTAAACATCTCCAGGGCTCCAGATAAGAAGTCCCATCTCTCAACTGTCCCTCCCAGTGGGTTGGGTCCACTGCAAGCAGCTTCTTCCCTGCTGGAAATAGTGGCTCCCTGGCCACTATGCTGGCCAGAAGAAATGAGCTTACCTTTCTGGTGGGCCTAACAGCCGTGCCAGAATTAGCAGCTGGTTGCTCCACCCGGACCACTTCCCCTGATTCCTCATTGGGGGTGGGAGAGGTTGAAAACTAGAATGATTTCATTAATCAGGGGTGGTCACCCAGCCATCTCCTGGTCTCTGAAATGATGGGATTAGGGCCCCACCACACCTTAGTCAATGACATGAGAAGGTTGGACCCCCAAAAAAGATCAAGAGATGTTCACTACAACTCATGATCCCCATTCTGTGTCCCTACCAGGAAATTCTGATGTTCCCTTGAAGCTTCATATGGTTCTAGTGTATGAAGGGTGGTTGTATACATTTAAAGGAACATTGAAGTACTGCATAGAAAATGGGTGATTCACTTGGCTGAGACCCCTGGCGGATAGACCCTCTGTGTGGCCAGAAGAGGTACATAATGCATTCATGGATAGAGTGGAAGGGATTAAAAGTGTTCCAGTAAAAGACATGGTGCTTGCTGGGCTCAGTGGTGCTTGCCTGTAATTCCAGCACTTGGGAGGCAGACGCAGAAGGATCAAGAGTTGAGGGCAGCATGGGCTACAGTAGAGCAAGACCTTGTCTCCAAGACCAAAACCAAACCAAACCTAACCCAAAATAACAACAAAAAAGGACATGTTTGACTAGCATGACACAAACAGTTTCAAAAGTAGAGGGATAATGAGATTGGTAAAGAGCATTTTCAAAGGGCAGAATATGTGCCAGTTCATTTAGATATATCACTTTTTAAGAAATTAGGCTGGTGGAGTGGCTTAAGGGGTAGAGTGCCTGCCTAGCAAGCACTGAGGCCCTGAGTTCAAATTCCAGTGCTGCCAAAACCCAAAACATCTTTTTTTCACTTTATTTTTTAGTTATTATTGTGCTGAGGGTACATTTTGGTAATGGCTCAACAACTGTAGGTCCCACTTCCCCCTCTTTGAGCTATGAAGCCCCATTTTACAGGTGGGGAAACCAAGGCTCAGAGCTGTGAAACCCTTGCATTCCTCTGTCCACTACTTGTTAGAGTCACAGTGAGACACAGGCTTCAAAAGAAAACAGCAGGCCAAATAAAAACCTAAGCAAGCCACTGGCCTAGCTCTCAGTGCAGGGAGGGAGACGACTGAAGACTCGGTGACTTTCTCTGTGCAGAGCAGACACAGGTGAGACTGGACAGAGGGGTAGGCTGAGTGCGTTTGGGGGCAGGACGTGGACATTTCCTCACCATCACAGCTTTCCCCTCAGTATTTATTCCTGTGGCTCTTCTCCCTAGAGGAGCCTGGAGAGACCCAGGTGCCCCGCATTTAACTCGATCTTCTTCAGAAACGTCCCTTTCCTGTTACTTGACGGTGACATGTCGCCCGAGCCCTGGGGCTTGGGGGTGAAAGGCGGCAAACCAGCTGGAGTTGGGCGAACCTTCCAGGGCCAGGCTAATATCTTCGGTAGGGCCAGCCTGGTGCCCGGTGGCTCACAAACAGCTGTGACCTTGGGAACAAATGGCAGCCACTTTGGTAAACGCCAAGCTCTGGGTTCCAGCCTCACTGCCCCCAATACAATTAATGAAATCATCCCAGGCTTTCATTTCGTTAGGCGCCAACGGCTGGATGTCGTCAGTGTTTGGGAGTCACAGCGACGGTGGTGTCTACTCAGCGAGGGAGCAGGGTCTGTGGGTAACTTGGGGCGGGGTTGACAAGGCGGGAACAACAGCCAAGAAGGAGCCAGACCGCGGCGACGAGCTCGCGCCACCACGCGTCTCCGCCTACCTGACGGAACGGACGGCGCGCTCCCAGCAACTGCGACTCTCGCAGCGTTGGTAGCCGCTACGTCACGCCCTCCGCCGCCTCTCATTGGAGGACCCGCCCTATCACGTGACACGCAGATGCCTTATAAATAGACGCGAGGAGAAGGCGGTGGTCCGCCATTTCGTGGACGCCGGGGGAGCTCGAGCATCTCTGGGACCTGAGCCGGAGGGGAGGAGGAAGGCCTGTCAGTGCGTGGATTTGAGCCTTGGTATTTCTACCCCACGATCTCGGTAAGGGACCAGCGAAGAAAAGAGGGCTGTGGAGTTTATCAGTGTCAAGGTGGGGCCTCCCTGAATGGCGGCGCCAGCTTGAGACAAAGAGGCGCCGCCGCCATTTTGTGACGTTCCGCGCGGGGCGGTGGCGGGGGCTCCCGGCCGTCAGAGGGTCTTTCTTGGTCTTGGGGTGGAGGTGTCTTGGTACCCCAGTTGGGGGTGGGCAGGCGTGAGGGGGGTTTCCGGAGAGTTGGGGTGCGCCAGGTCGCGGCCTTTGAGGTTTATGGCGCCTTTTTTGGGGGGAGGGCGTCGTCGTTTTCCCGGGGCGGTGTCTCGATGGCTTTTAGTTCTCGAGGCACTGGTCGAGAAGGGGGCCTTTCGGTCCCGCTCTCGTGCTTTGGTTTCGGCTCTGTACGGCCCGGGTCCGCTTTTCTCCCTTCACGCGGACGGGCCTCGGGGTTGAGTCGCGTCGTGGTTGCGGCTGCTCCGCGTGAACAGGCCCGGGACCCGGCTTGGGAGGGCGCTTCTGTGAGGCCGGTCGCCGAGGGGTTGGGCGCGGTCACGGCGAGTGGGACGCTGCGGCCTGGGGCTTTGAAGTCGCACCGGGGTGAAGGCGAGGCCTGCAGAGCTGGATTACTGAGGGCGCTGGCTTCGCCCGGCACGTGGATGAGCTGTGACCCCGCAGTGCTGTGAGGCCTTGGTTAGATGCTCTTTTGTGACTTGGGTTTTGTTCGTGAGATGTACGAAATGGTCGCGTAGGGATTTTTCTTTTTTCTTTTGGTGGGACTGGGATTTGAACTCAGGGCTCCGCACTTGCAAAGCAGGCGCTCTGTTGCTTGAGCCACACCTCCAGTCTGTTTGGCTCTGGTTATTTTGGAGATGGGGTCTCAACTATTTGCCCATGCTGAGCTCAGCCTCCCGAGTAACTAGGATTACAGGTGGGAGCCACCCGCGTCTCTGAAGAGTTCTTTACTGCGGGCGCTCCGTCTTCCCCAGTTGGCCTCCAGGTCGCCATCCTTCCGCCCCGGTGGAGTCCGGGGATTGTAGCCCTCCTCGCTTGGCTTCTGAACATCCCCAGCGTTGTGCAGTCTCCAAGTTCAGACGTTTCTGAGGCCCCTGAGGGATCCAGAACCTCGAAGGGCCGCTCTCAGTTCCCTCAGTGCTCTTCCACCCCGGGCCACCACGGTCTTTCTGGACGAAGCTGTGTTACGCCGTGGACTCCGCATGCGCACTTTCGTTTCTGCCTTTAAGTCTGCGTCGTCGTGAGGTTTTCCTCTTGTAGCACTTTGTCCACACGCTGCTCAGTATTTCTTCGTATGCTATATCACATTTTGCTTTTTTTATGTGCTGAGGGTCTTGGGTTAGCGCCTATTGTTTATTGGAAAGTGCTGCCATGAGTTTATTCTTTGGCGGTACCGGGGATCAAACCTCAGGGCTGTACATGCTAGGTAAGCGCTGTACCACCGAGCTACAGTCTGCCTCGAGCTTACATTTTTAAAAAATTTTTAATTTGGTAGGCCTGGGCTTTATGGCTTGAGCCACATCCCCAGTCCACGTTCTTAATAGACGGGGCTTTTTGTCTTTTTTTTTTTTTAACGTGGTACTGGGGTGTGTGAATTCAGAGCCCTCACTATTACTAGGCAGGGGCTCTACCACTATAGCCCCTCCACTCGTTCTCCAGCACACATTTTTAAAAACTAATGACGCTTGGTTTTGCTGTTTTAAGAACCTTTTGGTCTGTTCATTACATGAGATACAAGCACTGTTTCTGTAGAACAGGAAGTGCCTGAGGCATTGTATCAAGGAAATATTTTTAAATGAAAATGTCTGGCCTTATTAAATTAAATTTTGGCTTACGAAGGCACTTCTGTGTCACCTAGTCTAAATATGGTGGCTGTAGATAAATGATGGGGAAGCATAACCTTTTTTTTTAAAGTGTTGTTTGTAATATCTTATATGCCAACTATTTGTGAGGGAGGGAGAAGGGGTAATGTAAAATGTCCAAAATGGTTGTCTTGTCGTGGCCATGTTTCTTTGGAGAGGGGAAGAGAGATTTAAGCTACATTTACTTTGAAGTTAAGCTGGCAAGCCTCATCCATTCTGTATTTTATGTACTAGGAAAATAAGGGAAGTACTGGCTTTCCTGTTTTTCAGCAGTTTCATTTAGGTTTTTTGTCCCTGTAAAGTTTTCTAAATGCTGTATTTTGAGGGTGAAATGAAATAACAGGTTAAGTTCCGATTTAAGGACCATATTGTGATAATTGATCCTCCAGTGTTTTTTTCCTCAAGGAGGCTTTTTAATATTTTGTTTACCTGGGAGTAAAAATGAGGGTGAAATTGGTCTTTGGAGAGTAGTACTTAGATTGGTTTTTAGCATTTTGTAATTATTTTCAATTGCAGGTCAGGTGGGTAAGTTAATATTTTTGGTTATTTTTTGTTACAGAAATGCATCGTGATTCCTGCCCCTTGGACTGTAAGGTTTATGTAGGAAATCTTGGAAACAATGGCAACAAGACTGAATTGGAACGTGCTTTTGGCTACTATGGACCACTCCGAAGTGTGTGGGTTGCTAGAAACCCTCCTGGCTTTGCTTTTGTTGAATTTGAGGATCCCCGGGATGCAGCTGATGCTGTTCGAGAGCTAGATGGAAGGTAATTTTCATGATTAATGAATGTTAATGGTACAGTGTGTTGCTTGTTTTTTTTTAATTTTTAGAATTTTGTGAAAGTTTTTTAGGTGACTTTTCAAAGTTTGGAAACAAGGGAGCAGATAATGTTTATAGCTATGAACTGATAATTGTTCCAAAAAAATCATGGGCCTTATTCTACTTTCACATGTAAGAAATATTTTATCTCAGAAGTGTGAATCAGTTACTATTTTTATTGTGTTTATAGTGCTGTACAGTTGGTGGGCAAATGACACCTGAGTCTTACAGCAACAGGTGTTGACTTCTTTTTTTCTGGATTTTAATCCTGAAAACTGAAATTGTGATTCAGAATATGTCTCAAAGCAAGTCACAGTGCTTTGGGATCCTCTTACAATGAGAAAGGGTCTGACAGGGCCCACTTCCCAGCTACTGTGCACATGCATGGTTTATCTAAAGTAATGGCTGTGTCAGGCATCAGTGGCTCACAGTTAAAAATCTTAAGACTCTGGAGACAGAGATAAGGAGGCTCAGTTTGAAGCCAGCCTAGGCAAATAGTTCACAAGATCCTATCTCAAAAACGCCCAACGTAGAAGAGGACTAGCAGAGTGGTTCTAAAGCATGAGGCCCTGAGTTCAAATCCCAGTACTACCAAAAATTATAAATCTAGGGTCTTCTCCCTTACATTACAGCTATTATTAACAAGTGTTCAATAATCATGCCAACTGTTAACAAATGATAAAAAAAAAATTGGTTCCTTGTGAGTTGGTGTTTTTAAAAAATCCCACTTGACTTCCATTTAATTTGAACTGGGAATCAAGATCACTTTTATATTAGAAAAATAAGGGAAGCAAAAGAGTTGGATATTACAGCTTTTGGACATGCAGCTTGTAACTTTAGCTTCAGCACACATTTCAGAGAGAATGTTTTAATCATGTTTCTTCTCCCCCATAGAACACTATGTGGCTGCCGTGTTCGAGTGGAACTATCGAATGGTGAGAAAAGAAGTCGAAACCGTGGCCCACCTCCCTCTTGGGGTCGTCGCCCTCGAGATGATTATCGAAGGAGGAGTCCGCCACCCCGGCGCAGGTACTTGAGAGCGCGTTTTAGAGGTGTTGGTGTAACGGAGTAGCTAGTAGGAGCAGGCGTTTTCTCCTAAAGTTTGTTGGTGGGTTTTAAACTTTGAAGAATCCGAGGTTGCTACGAAACGTTGGCTGGGTGTAGTTTGGGGTATGTGAGTTGTGCTGAGTGTTGGCTTTTTTCTGTAGGTACTGTTCATGTTGGTAGTCAGTAACTTCTGTCTTGGATCTATCTTCTAGTTCATCTTCTAGTTGCATCTTTCCAAGTCTTCCCTTATACTTCAGTTTAGGCCTTTTTCCATTTCTTGACTCCATAATGACAAACATTACATTCAACTCTAGCTCTTCACATAAATGTGTTTTCTACTAGCACAATTGTAATATTTATCAAGCAGGCAGCTATTTTAATGTTACAACTGGTAAAGTGGAAATCATTCTGAAACTTAAGTCACTGACCAATAAAGGGGCCTAAAAAGAGAAGTAAACCCAGTCATCTGTTCTTGAATCCCAAATAGGAGAGAAATTCAGTTTTTTTTTGTAATTGAAAATGGCATCATTCTTGGACCGGACAGTATTGTCTGGTCACGAACTCCTCATCTCCTCAAACCTCCAAAATAGTTTATAGGACTAAATTTACCTCTTACAGGTGAGTGAAGTCCTCCTAGGAGATAGGAGTTCAAAATCTTGCCCCTTTTGCTATTTTGAAAAACACCACCACACTGTTGCCCATCATAATAAAGAGTATTTGTTAGCTAATAGATGGTTGTACTGATGGCTTGTTTTTTTTTTTTTCATTTTTTTTGTGCTTTTTGGTCCATCTATTAATAAAAATGAACCCCGTTACAGAGTCACCATCATGTCTCTTCTCACCACCCTCTGAATCTGCATTAGCCAGTCAACTAGCCCTTTCAGCGTCATGTGACCAGCGCGCCCCATTCAGCTTGGCTGGTGTCGTTTCACATGACCCAGGCTGGCCAGTCGTCAGGTTGCACCGCCCTTTGGTTCCCGAGCATGCTGTTTTCTCTCAGCCTTCTCTCCAACCTTAACCAAATCGGCAGCAGCCACCTCGACCGCCCACACATTCCTGGCCAATCAGCTCAGCTGTTTATTTACCAAATGTCTTCACAACAACTACAGCAGCAGCCTTCGGCTAACAAAAAAGCAGGAAAAATCCACAACACCCCCTTCGCCAACCAACTAAATCCAACGCAACATCTGGCAAAACCTTTTCAGCAAATTCTTCCTGGCCGTCAGTCCGGCAGCCTCACCTCACCATTTCTAGCTTGTTGAAACCCAAAACTAGTAAGTTTTTCCTGCTTATACAGTTTACTGCTGGTTAAAATAAGGAGTAAGCGGCTTAAAGTAATTCTTTTTTCTGGATCAAAGGCTGGCTGTGCATAATTGAATGGTAACGTACATATATATTGCTTGAAAAACTTTTAAGGGTGATAGGGAACTCATACTGTAACTAGACCTTCAAGTGGAACTTATTTGCATGTGTGAGATGCCAAACTAAAAATTTTAATCTCTAACAGATTCTAGCTTTTCTTCCTAGCAAAAATTTGTTGAATCCTATCACCTTTAAATGGTTTTACTAACAGTTTTCAAAATTTTAAAAATTTGGGGGTGAAGTGTGGGCCAAGCTAAGGTAATTTTGATAAGCCTAAACACACTCTTAAATGTGACGATCACAAATGCAGTTCTAATGTAGCACTAAGTGGCATCAGTATTTACACCTACCGCATTTTCACAAAAATTACACTATCCACCTGGTACCTAAAGTCTTGTTACGGACTTACAGGTTTGCATGGGTTCCAAATACTGGTTTATGGTACTGTTTTTGGAACTACTTGTGGGACTACATTTGGTGTGGTGTTTGGGTAGTGAAGTTAGTTTGACATGAAGTTTTGCATTGGACAGATCTGCTGTGAAGCATTCTTTGTTAAAATGAATCCATGGTTGGTTGGAATACCTGCTTTTCACTTGAGCTTTTTGTTCCTTAATCCTTCTGTGCCTTTTTTTTCTTTTCTTTTTTTATTTTTGGACGATGGGTGCCAGTTCTTCCGGCACATTCACTGGGCCCAACAGTGAGATTGAAAAGTTGGGAAATGCCTCACGCCATAAATGCAAGTTGACAATTAGTCTAATTTTCCTGTTTCTGCTTTTAGATCTCCAAGAAGGAGAAGCTTCTCTCGCAGCCGGAGCAGGTAAATTTTCATTTTGGACCACATTCTCAGAAATGGCAGTGTGTAAGCCATTTCCCAAATAACTTCATTAATGGGAATGGATCCTAACTTGAGCAATAATCGAGTGATAAATAAAACTAGGGTAAAATTTGTAGAATGATTAATGGGAGTAGATCTTAACTCTAGTAGTGAATCAAGCAGTCTATAAAACCAGCATTAAAATTGTTGAATGAGCCAGGTTTAAGATTCTCTGCTGGGTGTAGTTACTATAACTGAATTACCGTAACATCCCCCCCCCCTTTTTTTTTTTTTTTTTTTTTTGGCTTTAGGTCCCTTTCTAGAGATAGGAGAAGAGAGAGATCACTGTCTCGGGAAAGAAATCACAAACCGTCTCGATCCTTCTCTAGGTCTCGTAGGTAAGATACAATAATGACTTAAGCCACTTTAAGACATTGCATACATAATGCACTGAATTTTAAAAAGCCTTGAGTGTTTTTTTTGATGTTATACCACTGACACTAAGTTACAGATTTCTTTTTTTTTTTTTTTTCTCCCCCTAGCCGGTCTAGGTCAAATGAAAGGAAATAGAAGACCAGTTTGCAAGAGAAGTGTACAGGAAATAAGTTCATTTGACAGGAGTATGTACAGAAAATTCAAGTTTTGTTTGAGACTTCATAAGCTTGGTGCATTTTTAAGATGTTTTAGCGGTTCAAATTTATTTGTCTCTTGGAACAGTGACATACATAACAATGTAACATTCTATGGTTTGAAATGGATCATATGAAGCACATAATACCAAGAAATGTTACTTTACAATGTTCCCTTAAGCAAGATTGAATTTGCTTTGAACTTTAGTCTTGCATAGACTGAAATAAACCTAAACCCTGCCCAGTTAAAGTGTGATGTGCTAATGTTACAGAAACAAAACAGGCAGAAATTGAACTAAGATTTACTTTCCTGCATAGCTGAGAAACAATGCAGCTGTAGATGTAAAAGCAGTCTTTTAAAAAAAGCGGCTGTGATCACAAGCCATCAGGTAAAGATGAAAGCTGCACCATTAAACTAGATGAAGTTTTTAAAAAATCTAGCTAGTCTTCACCCTGGGCAGAGGTTGCCTAGTTGGTGTAGAATCTGATGTTTAAAGAAAGTTTACCTTTGCTTAGGTCATAAGTTCCTTATGGGATTGTTGAATATGAATAAGAACACACACTTGTTAATTATTTGGAAATTTGAGATTTCAAAATCCTATGTCCTGCCAGTTTAAGGGTACATTGTAGAGCTGAACTATTGAGTTACTGTGCAAGATTTTCTTTTCATGCTGTCATTTGTAATATGTTTTGTGAGAATCCTTGGGATTAAAGTTTTGGTTACAAATTGTTGTTTAACTTGAAAGCCTGTGTTTCCTTGCAAACTCAAAATCTGTGAGTACCAAGTCCAGGTATAACATTCCTATTGGAAGCCATACTTATATTTTCTTGTAAAGTGCTTTTGAATTAATAAAATACTAGCATAATTGTGTAATAGTCAGTTGAACCCACTGTTACCATTGTTCTCAACCCATGGAAAGCAGTTGGTCACATAGTTTATAAGAAACACAACTGAGAAGGCACTATAAATGAGTCTTGGGAATTTTTGGTTGTAACCCTGAGTGATTATTAGTAGTTGTCTATTTTAGAGGTTGAAGCCAGTTTGGGGTCCATGGTACTTAACTAACATTTTTAAAGTAAGCCGCAACCTGGTATATTGTAATCCAAAATAAGTTGCCCATAAAAAAAAATGGCTTTTACCTTTAGCATGTCCACAAAGTTTTGAAATTTGCTTCCATTTTATAATTTGAGGTGTTGCATGGGAATTCCAAACTGATCCATCATGATGTAAACTTCACAACATGGTTCAAATGTAACAGTGCACAGTTGAATATGGAGGCATGCATACCCTTCTGGTTAGAAATCGGGAGGAGTTGTGATTTCAAATTTTTTGTGCAATTAGATTAAATCATAATGCAACAGTCTTGTGCCTTAGTTTCCTTAAATGTGCTCTTTCAAAATAGTTTTGGATTATGCTGTACTGACTTTGTCTTTTAAAAAGAAAGATAGTCACTGAATTGAGTTCAGCCTGTGAAGGTATATTAATATATAGGTCCTAAAGCATTATGTCCAGTGGCACTGTTAACCTTTCACCTAACAAGAAAGGAGAGAATTGGAGTCTGGAAGGTTCAGTGTGAACCTTAGCAAACTGACATGTTCAGGGAAGACACTTAGACTCCCTGTTGATTTTCTGGGAACTCTTGGTTTTTAGGCCTTTTTGTCCTTTGGCATTTCTCCATAGCATAAAAGTTGTTCGTGTTAGGAACAAGCCACGATAGCTCTTACAGATGGACACGCAACATGAGATTTTGGTGGGGGGCAGTACACAACTTCAGTCAAATTGTAAGGAATTTTATAAAAAGGAAATCGTGGATATCATGTGGCTAACGTAGAAGTAATTTGGAACCTGACAGTTGACTCATGAGGGAGTTAGCCTCATCCTAGCACAATTTTATGGCTTGTAAAAAATGTGCAGTGTGGAAATTGTTAAAATCGACACTTAGATTGTGACTATTTGCATCTTACAAAAATCCTGTAATATCTAAACTACAGGTCAGATTAGCAAATCTTGTCCATTTTTCTGAGTTGAGTGTAGTACTAAGTTGAGTCATGCAACTTTGACCTATGGTGTGGTGACTATAGGTATTCACTAGAGGTCACTAACTCCCCAATGATGATTAAAGAATGATCTGAGACTGTTAATGCTTCCAAGAAAATTTAATTTGGTCTGTGGAGTTCTTGGTTCATTGTGGGCTACCTCTGACCTCCATGTCTTAAGCAAAAAGTTAAAGTTTAGGAACTAGCCAGAGAAACTTCAGCATAGATACCTTTATGTACCATTTATCTACTTGAGTAACTTACACTTTAAAAGATAATGTGATCTATAGATGACATCCTCCACGCTGTTGGATTGCAGGCACTAGTGGTTCCTGTATAGATGGATCGGGAGATTCAGGTGATTATTTTGGTATAGTGCTTCTTAATCCAGAATGATATTAAATCCTCTTTAATAATATACATAGCCAGGTTACAGGCCTGTTGCTATTCTCCTCTAGTTGTATATTTTTGTACTGCCAGACTGTTGTGTTTTTTTTTTTTTTTTTTTTTTTTGGAGACCATGAAAGATTTTTATGATTAAAATTACTGAAGAAAAACACTGGGTTGGAGTATATTTTTGTCCAACAATCCGGTAATGCTGCATTTGATTTTTCTGTGCCTACATTAATTGCTTCTGTTTTATTAAGGAATCATTAGATACCGGATAACAATTGACCTGTAGCATCTTTGAGGTTCTGAAAAGGGATTGTTGAAATGTGTTTTGATAAGCCTAATGTAACTGCTTAGTCTTGTCCGTGCAACATTGCCTTTTGAGGCTTGCAGAATTCTTAGTACAGTGTTTTTTAATTCATGGATTCATTTAGTGTCCTGGTGGTTTGTCTTTTAATTATTTTATCTGGGTCATGTGACAGTAGTTAAATGATTCCCAAACATGTAAGAAACTTCTTTTTTGTGATGACTGGGGTTGCACACAGCCTCATACTTGATAGGCAGGTGCAGCACCACTTGAGCGATGGCTTGAGCACCACCATTGCCCCACCCAGCCCTTTGGCTTTAGACATTTTTGGGATAGGGTCTCATGGTTCCCTTGGGGTGGTCCTCCTATTTATGCTCTGGCATTGCTGGGATGATGGGTGGGCCACTTTCTGCCCAGTGGCCTCTTGAACTCAATCTCATAACTGCCTATGGAGAAGGAGGGATTACAGATTTCAGCCACTGTGCCCAGCTTGCTTTTCTTCAGTTCTACCAAAATCCCGAGTAGTTTCCTACAGAAGTCTTAGAGTGGCCATTTTGTGCCTTCAGAAACTAAAAAAGCATTGGATGCTGTGTTTTTCCACTAGCCATCATTTGGTAAGGTCCTAAGATACTTTTTTATTTCCACAGCAAAATTGAACATCAAAGGGCAAAGTTCCAGAAAAATGGTATGAGTCGAAAGGTCCCTCCACCTTTTTAACAATGATGTTGGGAATTAGGCCCATGCCTTCACACTACTGAGGTCACATGCTCAGCAGTTTCCTTCTAAGGCCCTCGTTCAGTACATAATCTTATTCAGATAGCTTCTGTGGGAGTTCACATTCTTTAGTGTCTTTTTATTGCTAACAAAGCCCTAAAGTTTCAAATTGAAGCCAAGAGGAGCAAGGCATGGGTGGTTAATGCTTCTGTAACACTGCCCTTGGGTGGGGATAATTGGGAGGGGGATTTGCTAAAAGGAAATAGAAGTATGTGAGTACGACAAAGAATACTGTTTACTGAATAATTCCCTCAGAAAATAATTAATATACAGATAATTTAAAAAATACCATTCCTATAGAAAACTTTGCCATCAGAATTTCACTATGATACTAGATGTGCAATTAAGAGTGACGAAAATGCAGTGCTCATTTCATTTGTTACGTAGATAGCAAAGTCTTGGTGGGGGTGGGATACAGGGTGACTTACACCACCAGCTCATAAGAAAGAACAATTGGTGTATTGATGCACATTAAAATTTAGGCCATTGTGATGTTTGATTAAGAAACTCATTTGTTAGTTGCAGGGCTTTAAATGCCCTATGGGGGACTTTTTGGTCTGGAAAGTTTGGTGACAAATAATCCTCAATTGAGCCTTTGAAAAGCCTCCTTGTGCCAGCAGCCTTTTAGAAAGTGAATTGAGTCAAATGGCAAAGGAGGAGTGCATAGTCAAATGGTAAAGGTATGGTGAGGTGAAGAAATGAGATTTTGATGGCAGAAGCAATTGCCAGTGTTAATTGCCAGTGTTTAGAGCTAAAACATGTACACAATCTTTTTTGTTTTGTTTTGTGAGTGGGATTGGCCTCACACTAGCAGATATTCTACCACTTCAGCCACTCTGCCAGCTGTGGACACAGTCTAATGGGGGTCTTGTTTGCTGCACTGGGGTTGGAACCCAGGGCCACTAGCATACTAGACAACTGGTTTCCCAATGCGATACAATCCCTAGTGCCAGTTGAATGGTTTTTGATAATTCAGTCATATTTTCTGGATAATTTGTCCAACTTCAAAAGCGATAGGAAAACCAAAAGGTTTGAGATTAATTATTAGAGCATGCTAATGAAATGGCTGACTTAGGTTTTCAGTTATTTTTTGGTGGCACTGGGGTTTTGAACTCAAGGCTTTGCACTTGCAAAGCAGGTACTCTGTACCCTGGGTCACACTGACAGACAGTTTTGCTCTGGTTATTTTGGTGATAAGTTCTATTTGCTGGGGTTGGCATCTAACTGCAATCCTCCCAAGCAGATAGGACTATAGATGTGGGCTACTAGGGCCCCCAGCTCTGGGTTTTTATGGGGGCAAGAGATTAACTGAAATCCTGGCTGGCATTGTGTTAGTAGTGTCCATTTGTCCTGAAGTTATTGGCTTTAAAGAGTGAGGATGACAGAAGTCAACTGATTGATACACACTTGGAAGATTAGATGAACCCGCTGATGAGGGTCAAGAACTGAAAGTGCCTGCCTCCTAGGGTTCTGGAGGCCTCAGTAAAGGCAGCTGAAGTGGTGAAGAAGGTGCCATTGAGCACTTCTGGGCAGAAAGTCTTTGAGTTTAAGACCCTGGTACGCCTCCTCCCGAACGCTGGGGTGAGGTGGTGGACATGGTGGCTCACACCTATAATCCCAGTTACTCGGAGGAAGGAGGACTGTGGTTCAAGGCTAGTCGGTGTAAATTTATTGGGAGACTTTGAAAACCCAAAAGGACTGGAGATGTAGTTAAGTGGCACAGCAGTTGCCTAGCAAGCTTGAGGCCCTGAGTTCATTCTGCAGTACTGACCCCCACAAAAAAAATAAAGGGCAGGAAAAGCTGCTCTGTTACATACTGTTAGTGTATTCAAGATCAGGCCAGCTTTGAGTCAGAAACCCTTGTTGTATTGCACTGCATCTTCAGAGCATGTCCTTTCAATTACATAAAAGTAAAATGTTCATATGTTGGAAAGTATCTTTTTCATTCTTAAAGGAATTCGTCAAGTTCTTTTTTTGTGACATTGCGTTTGAACTCAGGGCCTACACCTTGAACCACACCAAGGTTTTTTTTTGGTCAAGATTAGGGTCTCAGAACTATTTGCTGGCGCTGGCTTTGAACCGTGATCCTCCTGATGCCTGCCTTCTGAGTAGCTGGGATGACAGGTGTGAGGCAGTGATACCTGTACTTTGTTGAAGTACACAGATAAAAATGTTAACCATTTTGTGTACCAGTATTTTCATTTTTGGTACATCTGAGTCCTGTGCACCTAAGGGACAATGCTACGTAGGGCTACAGCATTTGCCATCAAATGAGCAGGCTTGGAAACAAGTAGTTAACAAGGATTTGGTACTGAGAATGGAACCTGACCTTTGTGAATGCCAGACAGAAGCTTAGACTGTCATTTGCAGTTTGAGATAGGGTCTCAACTATATAGCTTAGGCTGGCCTTGAACTCGCTATCCTCTTACTCTTTACCCCAGCCTGCTAAGGACTGGAGAGCTGTGCGCCTCAATGCCTGGTCACAAGACTTCTGCAGTACTGGGGATTGTGCTTGCCAGGCAAGCTCTGTACTGCTTTAGCCACACCTCTAACCCTTGGGGTTTTGTTTTTTTTCTTTGTGGGGCTGGGATTTGAACTCAGGGCCTCAAGCTTTCAAAGCAGGTACTCTACTGCTTGAACCACACCTCTAACCCTTGGGGTTTTGTTTTTTTTCTTCGTGGGGCTGGGATTTGAACTCAGGGCCCTCAAGCTTGCAAAGCAGGTACTCTACTGCTTGAACCACACTTCCAGTCCATTTTACTCTGGTTATTTTTGGAGATGGGGGTCTCAAGAACTATTTGCCTGGGCTGGCCTTGAGCCTCCATCCTCCTGATCTCAGCCTCCCAAGTAGCTAGG